GAACGTTCGAATAAAGCAGCCACATCAGCGCTTATCTTCCAGATGTATCCCCGAACAATGGAAATGTGATTCGGATAACGACTGCGGAGATGGTTCGGATGAAAAACTGGAAATGTGCGCGAATGCGACTTGCGCGCTTAATCAGGTAAGATACCGTAGGCCGGCTTACTGTAGCTTCAGCGCCTTGTGTTATAGTTCTCGTGCGCAAATGGACGATGTATACCGATTTACTGGCTTTGTGACGGTGATAATGATTGCTATGATGGTACAGATGAGGATAAAGAACGATGTCCACCGATGTTGTGTAGAAGCGATCAGTTCAGGTAGAAATTTCTTACACACAAAAGTGCACCAAAAGGCCAAAAAAAATATTCAAAATTATCCAAAAAAACCAGCGTATCAGAAAAGATCCTCCTTGCTGGAAAGACCAGGTCTTTCTCCTTTTTCAAGAAATGAGGGTCCTCTATCGAGATCCTTTTCCCTTATCCGAACGATTGCTTGGATGGGCCTGATGAAATGAACGATAAGGGAGAAAAGCTACTATCATGGGATTTCTATGTATGGGAAGGCAGAATATACCAGGGTTTGGCTAACCAACTTGACCCGAAACGGGCAAGTGTTAGGGACCCTGGGCCACTAGAAGAGGGGGTTTCTAGGCAGAGGGCTCACCGTTCGTTGATAACCCTGAACTCGTAGGATTCTTTAGGGCTTTCAAAACAAGCAGAAAAAGCTCAGTTGGCACCCGGTCAAACTGGATATCGTTTCTGGGACAAAAAGCAAAGGAGATACCGTTTTTGTGAACCCAACCCTAGCCTAAACCGCAAAAATGCGACGTTTTTATGTCTCGACGTTTCGTTTTTTCTTAAGGTTTTTATGTTTAGGGTTAGGGTTAAGGGAGATTTCGTACAAATTGTTCAAGATTAAAAGGGACTTCGTTTTGGAATTTCCCTGATGCCAGTTCATACCGAGCCCTGGTCTACTCAGGTTCCAAAATTTCTCCACTCGATAGTGATTCACAGCAGTCTTGCTAATGCAAAAGTTATATGTATTATTTTTCGCGAACTTCATCTTACACATTTTTCTTTAAATTCTAGCTGAATATTGCAGATGCGCAAATGGACGTCAATGCATTGCTCTTCGTAATCACTGCGATGGTCAAAGTGATTGTGAAGATGGATCCGACGAAGATAGCTGCTTGATTCAGGTTTGAGTAGTACACTACCGTCTTTCCCTGGTCCTGCTTCTAATATCCTTTTTTAGCCAAATGCATGCACCTCAGATCAGTTCCAGTGCAAAACCAGTGGCATTTGCATACCTGCCTCGTGGAAATGTGATGGACAGAAGGTATGGGTTTTTTTCGAGTTGGTGCATTCTGTTCTACAATTTTTTATTTAGGATTGCGATGATGGTTCCGATGAACCGGCATTCGGATGCAGTGCAAACACTTGCAAAGAAGATCATTTTAAGTGTAACAATGGGCGATGCATTCTTAATGTGAGACTTTTTGGACATTTGTCTTACAATAATGAAAAATTTTATGCCGAAAATTAATGGCACACACCTAACAAATGGTTGTGTTTTGGTGAAACTAGAACAAATAACGGAAAAACACCTTCGATTTTTCGCCTACTGACTGTTTTTTTT